TCCATGAGCGTTCAAGGCACATCTCTGGAGGAGGAGATTAATTTGTGACTCACTGTGTAACCCTTTTGTCATGTCTTCTGGCATCTCGCCCTTACCAATGACCCACTTCAACCTGCGGGGAACAATTTCCAGTAGTTCCCAGCTGCTCTCCTGCTTATTGAATTCCCTTGTTCAAAGCACATCTCTGCTGCACCTCTCACTGGAACTTCTGGCCTTGCATTACCACAGAGAAAGGGTGAACGTATTAGACATCCGAGCTGGACAGCAATGAGACAGCACACCTGGGCCTAGAGGGAAGAATTCCATTCAGGTGGAGGATGCTAAAGGAGGGAATTGCAGAAAACATGGAGCCCTGGTGATAGTTTATATTTATATAACACCTTCCACGCTGAAGCATGTCAGTCATCCACAGGGATCACTTGCCCATCTCTGGGATGAGGAATGCAGTGACTATTTTTCATTAGCACTACAGGCTTATTTTATTTTATTTTTGGAAGTAAATCCTCCAGTTGAAACAGGAGGAAGATAGGCAGACTAACTCCCCAAGCTGGAATTTAGCCAAGACATTAGGATTAACATTTAACGTCCCCAAGCATTATGAAAAGGGATTTTTTTTTAATCACCATGAGTGGCCAAGCCATAGAATTCCACCTCATTTGAAGGATGGGATCTTCAGTAGTGCAACACTGACATGCATAGAAGAGTGTTGTCTGCTGATCGGTTAATGCCACTTTCAGCAATAGCTGGGTGTTTCCCTAAACATTTCCCATGAAAGTACTAGGCAGGTCAGTTTCTGGTTAGCTTATGAGAGTACCACACCAGGCAATATCCCTATGCTATTGCTACTGAGTTGTACAATCAGAAATAATGTATATCATTCACCATGGTGATGACTATACCAGAAGTTCCAGATAACAATGATCACAGCAGCTGGTACTATGCAATCCAAAACACTGTTGAGATGGCAACTGTAAATTTTACATCATCCTCCTGGAATAGCTGTCTTAATATGGGGGGGAGGGGTGAGAAGAAAAGCCACTTATCAGAACAAATGTAGGAAAGGGAAAAGCATCTCTTTTGAGTCTCTAGTGTCAGGCCATCAGCATAGTCCTATCCAGGGGTGAAGCAGTGTGAATCGGATAAGAACCAATCTGAATTTTTACCCCAAACTTGATAGGAACATTCTTTTTGAAGTTAAATAAAATAAAAAATAAAGTAATGGAGATATCCTATCTCCTAGAACTGGAAGAGACCTTGAAAGGTCATCGAGTCCAGCCCCCTGCCTTCACTAGCAGGACCAAGTACTGATTTTACCCCAGATCCCTAAGTGGCCCCCTCAAGGATTGAACTCACAACCCTGGGTTTAGCAGGCCAATTCTCGAACCACTGAGCTAAGTTCTAAAAAGAACTGAATAACTTTTAACTCCATTTAAGTTCTGTGACTGAGAGAGGCTGTTCTTGTGGCATTTCCAGGCAGAGATACCGGAACTTGACCAAAGCCTCTTATCACCAGAAGCTCAGTTTAATTTTTCAGGCTTGCGAGGCATGGATAGATGGCATAAATACCTGAGCTCCTCAGTGCTAAGGACTTTGATACAAAGTGCATGGAAGCCAGTGGGGCAGTCTGATTGGCTTTGGCTCAATAGCGAACTCTAACACAGTGTGTCAGCATCTGATGGACGGCAATGTGCCCAAGCCTCAGCAGTATGAATATTTAGTTGCCTAGCCCTGTATCACCTGCACAGCCTCTCTCTCTAACACTTTGGCTAATTTAAGCTACCATATCTTATCAGTCAATGTCTCCCCCTTCTTCTGGCCTAGCATTCATGACAGAAAACAGATTGATGGAAGTCTCTAATAAATAAGAGCCAGTGTGCTCCCCACTCACTGTGAAGTCCTGAGAGGCCTCATCAAAATTCCCTTCAAATTCAGTCGAATATGCATCCTGCTAATGAAATAGCTCAGCCTGGAGGAGTCCTTTGTGGCCCAAGCTCATTTCAGCAGAATGAACAATGGAGGTAAAAATGCGCAAAGAAAATTGTTAATGCAGTAGCAGTGTGGCAGGGAGGAGATAAAACCAGGCTTTTCTTAATCCTAAGCAATTCTGCTTGGGCTGCATATTTATATATTCTGCTCACAACAACTGATGGCTCACTTATTTCAGAGCGGGTCACTCTCCCTGATTTCGTGTGTGTGTGTGTGTGTGTGTGTGTGTGTGTGTGTGTGTCTTTTGTTTTCCTATCTCTGTCAGTGGCAATGCGAACTCCCTAGCACACACCCCTTCAGGTTCTTCCCAAATGCCATTGAGAGAAATGTCACTGCAGTTCCTTGGGAGCTGATCCCTGGGAGAATACCCAATGACCTTGGGTCAATTGTATGTTGTCCACGACACTGACTGCACGTCTAGATTTTTGTCTGAAGAGTGTGTGTGGAACAATTATAACAATTAATAGACATGACAGTCTGAAGTACTTCTGCAGGGGTGGAAAAGCTTTGTCCTAAGCCAACGTAATGATGCTGTTCACATGGTGCGTGTGTGAGGAGCTAAGCCAGTTTACATCCGCATAGGGTCTGTCCATGGTCTCTTGCCCGTCTGATCAGCTAAGTGTAGGAATCCAATGTGAAATGCCAAAATGTCAACTTTTCCCTGACGTCTCTTCCCAACAGAGAAGTCAAGAGAAAAGCTGGGCCAGTGCATGTCCTTCAGAGGAGATTCATAGAGATCCATTAATTGGTGCAGAAATAATTGTCAAGGATTCACAACCCGTCCAGTGGCTCATAATGGCCATCATGAAGCAGGACCTTCTAATCTGATTTCTCAGGACTTAAATGACGGCGTGCGTTGGCTTAGTACCATTGTGATTTGGAAATACAAACTTAATCCAGCTTTACTGGCAAGCACTTTAAAACTTGGAGGTCGTCTGCTTTTGATACTTCTTGACAGTTACAACCACAACTGCTAGTTGAAGTACTTTGAAGCAACCTTTAAAAAACAGATAGAGTCACAGTCAGCAATCAGAAGAGTCCTAGGCTAGGTCTACACTACAGGGGTGAGGGGTCGACCTAAGATACGCAACTTCAGCTACGTGAATAGCGTAGCTGAAGTTGTGTATTTTAGGTCAACTTACCTGGCTGTGAGGACGGCGGCGAGTTGACCACTGCCGTGCCGCTGTCGACTCCGCTTCCGCTTCTTGCCGCGGTGGATTTCCGGAGTCGACGGCAGAGCCATCAGGGATCGATTTTATCGCGTCTTCACTAGATGCAATAAGTCTATCCCCAATAGATTGATTGCTACCCGCCAACCTGGTGGGTAGTGAAGACGTGCCCCTAGATAATCTAGTTACTCTCTCAGTTGCTAAACAAATACAGTTTTCAGGGAAAATGTAACCTGCTCCCGCACAAAAGAAGCCTTCCAGAGAAAGCTAAAAAATACCAAACCCTAAAGACATAATGAAATAAAACAAAAGAAAACAGACACAGCTCTAAATAAATACATAAAATCTGCAAGTTATTCATTCAAAATTTTAATGTAGTCTACAACCCGGGCAATCATTTATCAGTGTGAAGCAAACTTCCAAAACCAGTTAGTTCTCAAAGAAAATAAGAGAGCAGAACTTCCATAAGTAAAACAAAAACCAGACTACGAGCTCATAAAAACACCTACTTCCTTTTTCGTAAACAGCGACAGCCAAACAGGCTTCCACATCACTTGTTCCAGCTGTCTGCGATGTTTACCAAGGATCACACCCTTTGTCCTTTTTAAAGTCCCTGACATTCAGGCTATGTCTATACTGGCATGCATAGCTGATTACTGGGCCATGTGCATGCTTGTGGGTGCTTCCCATAACCGTTCCCAGTGTCCCCATATATTGTGTTGGATATGGGTATAATACTGTGTACATGTATATGTATATACCCACATCCACACTGCCCCTGTTGTTCCACAAGGTTAATGCTACTATTTCAGGGGTGGTATGCCCAGGTTCTGTGAATCACAGGGAGACACCGTCTATAGGAACTGCTTTTGCTGTGAGTTGGTACAGTCCCCTGCTTCACATATTTGCTGGTGGCAGTTCTTGCTTGTCTTCCCCCTGCCAAACTGGGTGTAAGAATGGAGCAATGGCAAATGCCGTTGGTATAATCGTCGCCTGCGGTGTATTCCATACGTTTGAGGGTAAAGGGGAGGGCTCCCATCCTGAGTGGGCTCAGGACAAGACTGGTTTACAAACTCTGCACAGGCAGTCAGATCCCACCCGTGTACATACTGGTCCTTCCTGGTTTCCATTGGCAAGGGAAATTAGGGATGCCATATGTGCGCACATCTTGGCTCAGCAGGGAGGCAGAGGATGACATCTACCTATGCCAAGGGTCACCTTCACACTCTGTGTAGCTGCTGGAAAAGCACCCAAGAGAACATACTTGTGGCACTATGTAGCTTTGTGAGGGTCATTAGTTGTTTGTTTGTTCCTGTGACATCGCACGTATTAAAGATAATTATAGACAGGGCACCTCTACTGGTTTAACAGCTTTGGGTTGGGCTGGCCTGTGGAGGGTGGTGTCTGAGTTGAAATGTGTTCACTGGGAAATACTTTTGTCTTTACTGTTCCTGCTTGTTTACAAGCCTCTGCTATCTGGGGCACTCAGTCTCTCATAATGACTTTATCAGCATTTGCTTTGGGGGTGTGTGTGCACCCATTCTTCTTTTACTAGTTCTTTGTCAGTGGTGCTAACTGCACTTAGCAGCTGTTATGGCACACTAATTTCTATTAAGATTGAAACTGGTCAAGGTTTTGGGCGGGGAGGGAGAAAGAGAGGCTGTTTAATCGCTGTGTAGCGACAGATGCCTGTTACTTGAATTATGTAACATTTTCTTCGAGTGAACTAAGCCATAAAGACATTTATCTGCACACTTTCTGTGAGGTGAGCTGTCCTGCGTTGAGAACTAAGAGTGCTTTCTGTAAGCACATAACTCTAATTGCACTTTCCCCATCCCTCCCATGTATTCTTGGGCCTTCCTATATTTCTTAACCTGATGTGGGACAGACAGAAGAACATCTGCAGTTTGTGATGGCAACCGAAGGTTACACCATTCCAGTGCATGTGCTGCGCATCAAATGGCCCACACACAAGTCAAGAAACCAATAACATTTACTAAAGCTGCACTATGGAACAAGTGAGTAAAATATTTTTAAAAAGAAAAGTCAACCAACAAAACTTAATGGGAACGAATCTGTGAACAGCAGCCAAATGTTAGTGTCTCTGCACTTATCTCCTTGCCCTCCTCCTGACCAGCGGAGAATGATGAGGAAAAATTGTTCTTGGGGATAACTGGGAACAGCTGCATGGGGTTTGGGACTGGGCACTTGGGGTTCAGGGAGTGGTACAGTCTCGTTGTTTGTTTCTCTTCTGGATGCTTGGGGAGGTTCTCCTCTGAGAGAAACCTCAGTGGAGGGTGAGGTCCTGGGAGTCCTGCAGGTTCCATGTTCTCCTCTTGGTCACTTGCGGGGGATTGGATCGTCCACTTCAGCAGCAGCCTGGCTGGCAGCCAGAGGAGCAGAAAGTAGTGGTGGTTCGTGGACGTGTGTGCTGGTGGTATGGCAGCAGTTACACCACCTCTTCAATGGGCTTCTCCAATAGAAAGGTGTTCCCTATAGCATGCCTCCTGCTCCATGAAACAGTTCATCGGTGTCTCTTCCACCTGAAGACCCTGATCCTCCCATGTCCTGAAGACCTCAAAGTGCTCCTGGTTCCTCTTGCCCATTCCTATGAGCAGCTCTTCCAGGATCTGTCTGCCTCTGTTGTCTCTAAGGTGCTCACGCTCCTGCTCTCTCGGTAGAACGGTTTCCCTCTTGGGAACTAAGTATCAGGGGGTAGCCGTGTTAGTCTGTATCTACAAAAACAACAAGGAGTCTGGTGGCACCTTAAAGACTAACAGATTTATTTGGGCATAAGCTTTCGTGGGGAAAAACCTCACTTCTTCAGTTCTTGGGAACTGAAAGTCCTGCCAGTTCAAAGGCAAAGGTAGCATTATCTATATTTTGCCTCTGAGAAATCCCTCCACATAACTATAGAAGCTCACAATTTTGCTGTAGAAGACCACAATTTGTGTACTTTTCAGCCCTCCAAGAATGTGACTGATACTGTCCTTGGTTCTCAGACAGCTTTTGCATCCCAGGAGGAAAGAGCAGAGACTGCTAATGATAAGAAAGATTTACTAATGTTTTTTAAAATGTAAAATGTTCATGTCTCAAGTAGGGAAGGGGAGGCAGTTTGTTCCAGGGGTTATTTTACCAGCTTGCAGTTTCTTCTTTAAAGGTTGGCCAACCTTTGGGGAAAAAAGTGATTTCAAGGTACCAGAATGGGAGCGGGGAAAGAGGTGGATTTCCAGTCTTGTGGAGAACATTAGCAGAAACCTCTCTCATGCACAGATTGCCCAATGTCTCCTCCTACACGTTGCTGAATGGAGGGAGGGGTTTGGTCAGCTATGCAGGTGGACCTAGCATATCTACATGGCCATTGACCCTCAAGCAGCTGAAGTTTCTGCTACACCAGTCTGCACGGCCCCAGCACCACTGCTGTCTGTGTGCCGGCCGAGAAATGCACAGAGAGCCAGGGGCACAATGATTTTTCGTTGTTAATCCATTTTTCAGACATAGCTTCTGCCAAATGCATAGTCGTGATTCACTGGAAGTCAATTAAATAATTCGCTTATAGCCATGGCTTGCTCAGGGATTGTTTCAATCATTTCAGGGTGGAGCAGAGCAGGGGCTGGACTTAAAATCAGGAATTTGGCACCAGAGCAAGAGGGGATATTGGGGGGGGAGGCTGGGAGTCCATTGTAACTTATTGGCTCCTGCTGTGGCTTGGGGTCCTCCTTGGAGGGGCTTCCTCAAATGGTTCTTCCAGGTAGCGGTCTAAAATTACATGTTCCTTGTCCTTCCTCTGTGGTCCCTGGGCCTCATTAATATCCCACTGGACAATGAGGCTGGTGGGGTCGGAGTCAATATTGAACCACTTCAGGATCTGTACTGGGAGTCCTTGACAGCTCCTGGTCCAGCTTGCTGTAGAAGGGGCACGTATGACGAGCCCTCCTGGGATGACTGTTTGAGTCTCTCGTCCTCCTGTACAGGGAAGGACAGTGCTTGATGTGTTCCTGGCACTGGGCTGGAGTCTGCTCAGTGCCCACCTGCTCCACCCTCTATGAAATTTCCCAGTACAGGCGAATGTTCCCCCTGAAGCAAGTGCAGAACGGTGGTCTTCGAGCACACGTTGCTCAGCACCTGGGTGTGGTTGGCAAGCCAAGCGGCTGGTCTTGGAGCAGGATCCATGTTCACTTCTATTGATCAAAAGAGTGCTGGGGAAAGCCGTTCTGATGTAGTCAACGTATCTCGCTCCTACTAGGGAAAATGTGGGACGGGGACCTTCAGAGATTGGGTAAGGCTCAGGATGAAAAGGGTTCAGTGCATTGTGGGTCTGGGGATGGAGGACTACTAAAGCTTGAGACCAGTGCATGCCCTTTACCTCCATCCACCCTGCACACTGGGTATGGGGTGTGCCACAGCATGTGTGTATTTACCCACACCCTTCAGTCCTGCTAGCTTACTTCTGGGGTTTAGATGGGGGGCGATGGAGTTATAGCAACCACATGTATGCACATGTGTACAGCCGCTAGTGTAAACGTACCCTTAATAGCTATATAAAAGACTGAAAGTATGTATCTATATCTTTATACTACCACCAGCAAGATTCCAATCATTCTAGCCATAGTCCAGCAAGTTCTCCAATCTCTAAGGGGAAGGACGAGTAGGGGCATTGTTCCACTCAACTCTCTGGTGCCCCAGATCTTTGCTTACCAGGAAATAAAGTGCACAAAGGAAGCAACTGCAAAACATGCCAGGCCAGATACTCAGCGGATGTAAATCAGGAGTTTCATTAATGTCAAGAAACTGGTCATCTAAAGATAGCTCCACCATTTCCTTCCTCATATCTTCGGTCATTTGGATCTCTCCTCCTGAATGGTGCATGAGTACAGGGTAAGTATGTATTGTTCTGCATTATTGTCTATGAAACTGAAAGTTGGGAGCTCAAATGTATGTGATTGTCACCCTCTAGAGGCTGACTCATACAGAATATATGCTCTAATAGCACTGCAGCTGACGGAGTTTCTATCTGAAAAGGAAGAGGCCAGTGATACTGGAGATGGAAGGCCCTGGATTCTATCTACCGAGCTGTAACCTGCAAACTAGCTAATGATCATGATATCTATTGTTTGCAGCCATGGACTATTAGAGTATCTGCATCAGAAAAAGAATGATGGCCCAGGTCAGAAGCCAATGTTTTGTGAATATTCTTTCCTTTGACAAATCTAATTTTAGCCACTTAAGCATGTGACTCTTGAATAGGGATTACTCACAGGCTGAAAGATAAACACATGCTGAAGTGCTGCTCTGAATTGGGGCCAGAGTGCATGGCCAGGGAGTGTGAATGGAAGGAGACAGAGCGAGAACCTAGCTGCATTAAACTGTTATCAAAACCTAAAAATGCCCATAAAAACTTGCAAAGTGTCTTATGTCGCCTTAGGAAGAGGCCTAATAACTCCCAATTTTCCTCAAGTTCACTTGACTGATGGATAAAAATGAACCAATTTACTCTGTCTCCATTGGCTTGTTGTGACAAGATAATGGGGCCCAGAAAGATGCCTCACACATCAGGGTAGAACACTAGAGAAGTGGAACACATGCCAGCTGGACAAGATTCCTAATGGTGTTGAAGATAAATGCTGCAAGAGCACAGCTGATTTGTAAACCCATAAAAAACAGATAGCACAGTAAGGGGCACACTGCAGACAGTCAACTCCCAGTGACAAGATTTTTTGGTCTCCTGCTGAGGCAGGGGCAATCAGTCATTCTTTCCTTTATTTAAAATTTCTTAGTAGCTAAACGGTGTGGTTTATTTCATTAGTAGTTTAGTATCTGGAAGATATTCCTTATCAGGTTTGACAGGTCAACTGTAGGACCTAAATTACACAAGTCCTTTTAACTCTGAACTCCTGGCTTTTGTTGGTCTGTCTCATACCCTTGGCGTTATCCAGCTTATGGAATTTGATTCATTTCTGTGTTGGCATATCCCGGTGAATCTGTGTAAAGGAAACAGACTGCATGTGCCCCCTTCAGAGGAAATCTCTGTTTCTGTTTCTCTACCCACTAAAAGCTTTATCACTCAGCCTTGTTATTACCATGCTAAACGGAACACTTCAGAGCTTAGCAGCTTAACAAGATAAAAACAGGCTTTGCGGTTAATGTGGTTACCATAGGCATGCACATGGGGCCAGAGAGTTTGAGCTGCTGACTTCCTTCCACAGCTGTATCAGTGGGGTAGAAAATAAGTTTGCCTGATAAAGCTAAAATACTTTTAATTGTTTGCTTTCATGGACTTCATAAGTGGCAGCATATTGAACATTGGTACTAAGACAGGGTGGAATCCTGATTTTATTATTTCTTTTTAAACATAGATCCGACCTCACTATACTTAATCTTAGAGAGGGGCTGTTTCCACAACTCTTACTCATAAAATAGCCCTTTCTTAGGGGAGCTGTCCCAGTGACGGGGGGCCAGATTGTGATTCCCATCATTGCATTTAGACCTAACTGCACCAATAGTCCTGTTGGCAATGGCTTCTATTCATTGTGGGTAAGGAATAGCCCATCTGGCTCTAAATGGACAAGCCTGGTGCTTTAGAAAAGCTCTGTGCTTTGTATCTTCTCTGCTGCGGGGTCCATAAGAAATAGGAAGGATGGATGTTTTTGGATACAGTCCGTGCAGATGTCCAGATTCTCAGCTGGTGTAATTTCAATGGAACTATGTCAAATTACATTGCCAGAGGACAGGCTGGATTGTTTCTTAATTATTTGATTTGCTTTCTGGGACAGCTGATCAGGAATCCATCAGTTTTTATGGCTACCTGAGAGTATTTCCCAACACCACCAACTTCTAACTCTCTGAACCAAGGCAAACTTCCTCAAGTTATTCCTCAAAGGTGCCAATTCTGGCACTTGGTACTTGCTGGTATGGTATCATGGAGCATTAGCTATCATCCGTTAATCAGCATCTTTTTCCAAAGTACCAGGGAGCAGCATAATAGAAACCAGTACTAATAAATGGTCATATTTATTTC